CATTTACATGATTGCCATGTTGTACAAACCATGTCTTTTAAGATGCATCATCCTGGCTGGTCAAATTAAATGTTATTGAGAGGTAGGCTATTCACAATGCACCAAAACTGGAATAATGTTGGAAAGTAGAGCTGGAAAATAATCTAAGTAATGTCAGTGCAAAGTTAGTTAATGCAAGCCTTACTTTTCTTTTGCAGGTCCCTAAAAATGAACTTCACCCAAAATACCAGGATGATGTAATAAAAATTTTGGAGTTCAAACTGAAAGTTTGACTTTCTAACTAATAAAAGTAACTGAAAAAAGTAAAAGTTGTGTTATTTTTAATACAGAATCCCTAAAGGTTACAAGTCCTGAGATGGTCCAAATTCACTGATTTAGTTTCAAAAATTTTTATCAAATTTGCTGAAGGATATTCTGTACATTTAATGAGCTGTGGTTAAATTTTTTGTTTCTATTGGACATGTTGCTAATAATAATTTCTAGCAATAGGGAAGACACAGAATTTTTAAAAGACTCTTCTACATGTATGGAAGTCCTAATTTCCAGGACTGCAATTCAGTCAATGCTGACACTTAAAGAATGAGGTGCAGAATTACAGGAGACAGTCAGTATTTAATTGGCCTTGTTCACTTTAGATTCTGATGACTGGTACAGTTAATTTTTCTATGTGAGTAGTATTCATTTACAGCACTGAAGTTTCTTAAATTTGGATGAAGTGAATTTCCAGGAAAAACAGCTTTAAAGGGTTTTGAGTTTCATGTTGGATCTGTGTGGTTTTCTCAGCTGCAGCTGGTGAAACACAGTAGACAAACAGGTAAAGTATACAGGCCGCAGGCTTTATTTTATATTGTCACTAAAATTTATATGTCATCAAAATCAATAAAGTGCCTATTGGTAGGAGGATTTCAAGGAAGTAATCTGCTTCATTAAACTCTTTTCCACCTTGTTTAACAACTGAGGTAGTTCAATGGCACAGCCACGATCTTCCCAGTGGCTGCAATAGTCTAGAATGTATCGAATACAAATTGGTGATTCTGGATCTTCAAAACAGGTTGCAAAATGGCAAGGGCTTTGTAGATTACTTGCATCAAAGTTGCATGGTTCTTCCTGTGAGATAAAAAGCAGATATGATAACATGTATTATCTTAACATATTAAAATGACTATAGTTGTAGGCAACATGAGCCAACTTTGGTTCAGCATGAAAATAACTGCTTTTAGCCTGTTGACATCCTTCATAACTTCTAGAAAAATTTTTCAGTTATGAAATAAAATTTTTCCAGCAGCTTTTAAAATGATAGAATCACACTCAAGTCTATCAAAATTAAGAAAACCATAACAAGTGTTGTTAACTCTTTACCCACTTTTTTGGTAGATTCTTTTTTTAATCTTTTTGCTATGAAATAAATCCTTCACTGATCAAGTGGGAGGTCAAGATGAATGGGTATTTGCCTTGAATGTTTTTTTTCATTTGTTTGTTTGGTTTTTATTTCATTCAAATTTATCTTAGTCTATCAATTTCAGGTAAATATTGAACAATCTTTACTTCATGCTTGGTCATGGCAATCACACAAGTACAAATTTCATTACCTCGCTAAAGTCAGGACCATTATGGATAGCTTCGTATTCATCTGGTGACATTTTTCCTGTTTCAAATGTATATTCACTCATCCTCTTGTCTTGGTCTAAACAAACCACTGGCCTTACATCCATCATCAAGAACTTCTCTTCATACTTTCTGAGTAAATTTCTTAATGATGCTGGTATACTTGGCAGATGATCCCCTTCATCACCATGCATAGAAAAATAAAATGAGGAGCTTACATATGAAGGATATATATATATCTTATTAAACATTTTGGTGTGTAGTATCGCTGAGTATTTATGAGTTGTGCTGTATTTTGACAAGCCCTGTAGGGCAAGTCAAAACACAAACTTCAAGTAAAATTACTCAGCAATACTACACTGAAACATAAATAAGTTAATATTTATTATCCAACTGCTTTTTTTTTCTGCTAAGTCTTTCTGCTCATTTCTGATAAGGCAGGATAAGCAAAGTGAATAGAGAAGTGTAGCACATGCAGCTGACTGGTTAAACAGGTTTTTTACAATACAAAATATCCAACTTTCCAAATAACTGTACAATATCACAAGATATTTGCACTCTATTCATGTGTTATTTGTACTCTACTTTGTGCAGTTGGATAGTAATAAATGGTCCCACATAGATACACATTTTATCTTTTAATAAGTATGAGGAAACAGATACTGCATTTCCTTAAATAAGTGCCCATGTCCTAATAAATGCCCTTCCCCAAATAAGTGCCCACCCCCCAAGGCTGCAATGTGAAACAAGTGCCCCCCCCCCCCAACTTTCTTAAATAGTAGGAATAGCAGGGAAACTTGTTCCTATTTCCAATTTCTTTATAACTTTTTAAGATTCAACTACAGAAGAATCAGAACAGCTCCCCCAATCAATTAAGCACCCTCATCCAATCATCAAGTGCCTCTCCTTTCAGCAGAAATTTTAAATGAGGGCCCAGGTGCTTATCCAAGGAAATACAATATGTATCATCCACTAGTTGAATTTAAAGTTCTCTTTACTTTGTATCAGATATTATCAAATGTCAAAATAAACAACCACAGTAATTGCTATCAAACACATTACAAGGACAAAGATAGTGATCATTTGCATACAAAGTCAACTAGCAGAAAAACTTTTAGTTATAATTTGAAAGTCTTACATTAAAACAAATAATTATTAAATAAGGATTTTTTCCAATTGCGTGCACCAATTGGTTACTTTGGAAGTAATTAGAAAGTACAAAATATAAATGTACTGCTCAACTGTATGCATTTCAAGTGACAAAATCGCACATTAAGTTTACTAATGATTTCTAACTATTTTCCATTGTATTCATTTGACAGAAATAAATTGATTGTTTGGTTTCTGTGTGGCATATTCTAGTCTAATAAACCAATTACTATTCACCAGGTTACAGTTCTTCAATTAACAGCACTCGAAATGTTACCTCTGACAGCACCATGTTGAAAAATTTACATAATTTATTTCTTACCTCTTATTTGGGTTGAAGATTGTAGATTTCCAGAAGTTATGGCAGTTTTTGATGGCCATAGAAACTGTACAAATAGGTTATACTCTGTTGAAAACGTTACATGTTGCCACCACATTTGAGGTATGTATAACATGTCACCCTTAACAAGGTTGACAGTCAAGTATGGAATGCCTCTAGATGAGAGAGTATCTGGGGGAAAAATTAAAAAAAAAAAAGAAATGAGCACAAGGGAGATTGGGAAAGGGGAAGGGGACAATTCACTTACTCTGTCAAATCACAACTCTAGTGCTAATGTAGCAAATTTGTTGTGCTTGGCAACTGTCTACATTTAACAAATGCATAAATCAAGTGGAAAATTCTTAAATCAAATGGAACATGTTTAATTTAAGTGCAAATCTATTTTAAATTTCCCTTTGTTAATTATGAACAGACAGAGAGGTATATTGTACATCAGTTCTGAAAAAGTAAATAAAAATGTTAGAAGTAATGATTTCAAGACAACACAAAAATTAATTTGGTTTGACTTATAAATTTATGACAACCTGTATCAAAACTGGAAATTGCCAACAATTCATCTCCATCGAAAGGAAGTTTTTCTGAGTGCAAAGGTGAAATTAATATTACTGTAGCACTTCCATTTAAAACAGTTAGCAGCTGTTCATCTGGTTGGAAAAATAAAGATGTTGATGCTTTCTTGTGACGATGGTGAAACCAAAACTTGACTGTCATCTTCTCCATGAACTGATGACACTGAGCACAAAGGGGAGCCCTTATATCATTGAGCATCTCCATTGTTGGTTCATCACAAAGTGTTAGATCTTCCTGTGAATATCTTGAGAAGAATTCTTTGACTGGCATGTTACTTTCACCACCAAATGGGAAATTCTGTAGTCCTTTTATAACTGATACTTGCAAGTCTTCAGTTAAAGATTGGATCAGGTAGGTTTCTGTCCATACCTAATCATAATGAGAAACAGGGAGAAAGTTTAATTACATCTCTTAGGAAAGTTTAAAGATCACCAATACTTTGCTCCTTGAAAAATTTTGTATAGTGAAGCATTTGGTCTAGATGTGGGAAAGAAAAAAGGATCAATTCACACTCGGGCTTTGACATTATTCATTCCAATTTTTAATTCATGATTGGTCGCGTACTAGTTATTGTGAAAGCTAGTGGTCCAATTAAGAATACATACAGGAGGTGCTAATTTTGGAATACAGGTAAAATAAAAAGAAAAAAAAGATGTTGTTACCATGTTCTTGACAGAATAACTAGGAACAACTCTCTCTGCTCCAAATTTAGGATACATTTTGTAAGTGAGTTTGCATGATTAACTAATATTACTACCCAAGATCTGATTTTTAACTCCTCCCTCTAGCTGCTACACATTTCCTTGTAATAAGTTAGAAGAATTTGGTATTAGATCAAGATTACAACTTCTACTTGATAGGTTGGAGTATTCTCATTACATGTTTGCAGGATAATATGTAGCTATTATGGGGAGAAGTTACATGTTAATCACTTCTGTGAGTTAAAGGGTGAGGAAAGATAGTCCAGAGATCTTGAAATTTTTACTAGTTTGCATGTTTTGTTTGTTTTTTTTCCCTTTCCAGCAAGTAACCCCCAAAGAAGAAAGTTTCCCTATCCTAATCTCCATGGCGTTAGAGTGAGCTACACACTTCAGCAAAGTTTTTATGACCCTCTTGAAAAATTTCTCATGAAAATTGTGTCAGTCGTCTATGTGTAGTTTTTGAAAGTTACGTTTTTTTGGCAGTTTCTTTGCCACCAAGTTTCGATAATACCATGCTTAGGGTTGAAGTCATTATCATTTTGATTTATTTGATTAAAATTAATAAATATTTGCTTTCCTACCGTATACGCTGGCCAGTTTCTTGCCACCCTCCTCATAACAAACGGCCTATGTTTCACCAAGAAATTATAGTAAAAATCTTCTGGAGAAATCATAAACAGACTTTCCTCTATAACTGTTTGCGATATGGAGTATTCCTCATGTTTGTTTGCCTCTTCGCCACAGTTTTCAGCCTTGTAATAACGTTCTCCCTCACAAACTTGTAGAACAACAAAGAATGCGAAAACTATTTGCAAAGGTTGGCCATTCCTAGCCATCACATCGACTGCAGAAAAAAATATGCTTCTTTAAAGTCTCAGCGAGATGACGAGCTATCTTCATTTGAAACTGAAGGCTTTAATTGTTGAACTGTCAAGGTGTCAACATCTGGCCAAAAATTCTTACTCCCCTTCAAGGACACCCTAGAAACAACCTATGGAAAACTTAATTCAGCTTATACAAAGTAAGTACTATTAAGACAAACACTGCTGGTTAAATATCGCTAAGTTCTATTCTTATAATTTTCTTTAGTCGTCATGGTTTTTTTTAAGAATTTCTTAGAAAGTAATGGTAAAAATCATTAACCAGAACTTAATTGAGGAAAGAGAAAGTGGGTGATGTCTCTAAGAGAAGCGTGGAAGATTATTTACTCAAAGAATTTTGTGGCATTGGAGAGTTCATTTACCCTTGGAGGTGTATCGTGTGTATGTGATTTAGATTGATTATTGTCCATTGTTTTTTTTCATACACTCTGGGATTTGATGGGAAATCGCTTGGTTCAAATTTAATTGTCCTATCTGGTTTTATTGTTCTCCTTAAAAATTGCGGTACCAAGTGCGGTGAGATAAACACTTTGTGTTTCGTGTATTTGCATCTTACCGGCAAGGAACCTATGATCGTGGGAGAATAAACCTATGTTTGGATATAAAGATTGAAAAAAAGCTTTGGAAATCAAGAGAAGGCTGCTGTACTGGATTAAGCATTACTTTAAGAATCTCCAGTGGATTTGACGGCCAGTATGCGAGTAAACATTTGATCCAGCTGATCATCTCTTCGACAAAAGACTGTCACTATTCTGCTATTTCCGGAGAAATATATTGTTCTACGGTACATTTTGCATCTTAGGATTGTTCGATCGTTTCAGTTTACAACAGGGATCCATTGTTTAACAGTCTGATCATGCGATTCAAGTTGAAAAGAACTTGTAAATGTTTGGGAGCGTTATTGATCTGTACTATTGTTTATCTTTTCGTAAACTGCGGGTTTGGTGGTTGTGCGAAATATAAACTCGACCCCATCCACGTGGCAAATTCGCACCCAGAGCTCGGTGAAATGATCAAGATTGAGGATTTCTGGACACCGGAGAAGGAGAAATACACTCCCCGAGGGCCAGGCTCTTTTGGGGAGCCCGTAGAAACAGAGGCTGGGAGTGAACACTTGAAAGATAGTGCTTACGCGGAGTATGGCTTTAATCAATATATTAGCGATAAAATTTCCTTGGAACGTCCGCTCAAGGATACAAGGCATTTTGCGTAAGTATGCAACACATTCTCTGCCTTGTTTTGTTTTGCCTTCCGTGATCGAACTGTTTGAAAAAATTTGGTCAAAGCCTTTGAAAAATTAATAAGGACTTAATTTCGTTAGAATAAAGAGGAACGATTTTAACAAGACGTTGTGCTACTCTAGTTATGTGATGGATGCCAGTGATCCTGAAACAATATCTAATTTTTTATCGACAAGAATTCATCGCTAACTTTTTAACTCCCGCGTATGAGTCACCAAAAAATTCCCCTTTTTTAAAATCTGCGAATGTTTGTAAATTAGTAATGGGTTACGGGTTGGAGTAATTTCCCTGATATCTTTGAGTGACCGTGAACCCACAACGTACGTGTAGTAGACATGTAAACATTGGATAAATTATTAAGTGCAACCAAATATGTTCATTACACAAAACCTATCACTACATGCTGCCTTATGATATTATTTCCAAAATCCAAACAATTCATAGAAGTTAGGCATTGTCTTCAGGGAAGAACTATGTGTAAACTTGGCTTATTGTTTATCTTTTGAAGATAATGTTTTTGTTAAAATGTATCTTTTAAATCTACAATGAAATTTCTGAGTCAGTACCTCTACTCACCCAAAAGGTAGAAAATTCACAAGTGAATCCCGTTGCGTTCTAATTTAGTTCAAACCTGAGCTTCCTAGCTCATTAATATTCATATTTTTGTTATATGGACTCTCCAGCCCAGTCCCCACAAGTCAAGATAGCCCAACGTTTACAATTCCTCGCAAACCTCTTATCCCTGTCTGAATGCTGTTTTCAACACTTACCTCTGCACTATGAAATTTTAAATTTTTTTTGGAAGTGAGGAAGCAATTTGCTCAGAAGGCACAAAATATCTTACTCGTTTTTTTTGGTGTTCACTTTGTCCATACCACTGTTGTAAACTGCCTTTATCAAATTTGCTTCTTTGAGAATAGTTAATTCAAATTCTATATTTTGTTGCAATAATTGAAGGGGTCACATACCCACAATGCAGTACTGCTTTCAACTTTGCACTCAGATAATTACTGATTACCTCCCAATGTGCAGCAATTATAAAACATATGGGTGCCCTCCTCCTGTAAGAGTTTCAGGTACTTGAAGCTAAGATTGATGGTTTTTTTTTAAGAATAGATGTAGATCACATTGCTATTGTAACTTTTTGTTGAGAAAACAATCACATCTAATGATTTTTTTTATACTGTTTTTAAAGCAACTAAGGAAAAAGCAAGGTGACAGGAAAATGTTTTGTAGATCTATCAGTTAGTGAGTTTTGGAAAAATGAATTGCAAAATTGCCCTAAGCCTTTTTTCAAAATAATTATTTAGTTGTGTTGAAAACACTGAATTTTTGCCATTTTTAACCCTCACATCAGTATGCATTTTCTCCATGCTGTTTACTATACATTTCTTGAAATGCTGACAAGGAGAATTCATTTAACAATCAAGAGCTTCTTAAGTTAGTGATCATTTCCTTTATTTTCATGACCTTAATGTTTGATTCAGGGGTGATATTGTTAAGAGAAATTAGATGCTAGTCTCTTTTAGAGGTCCATTGTGGACCTGTGTTTTATCTGATTTACATCTCCATCACAAAACTGAGGTTATCAACAAAAAATAAGAGTTGAAATTTTTTGCTGATCATCTTTTTCAGATGCAAAGAACGTAAATATCCACGTAATCTCCCCAAAGCTAGTGTAATCATAGTTTTCCACAATGAAGGTTGGTCCACATTACTGAGAACAGTTCACAGTGTCATAAACAGGTCTCCTCCACACATGCTCCAGGAAATAGTAATGGTTGATGATTTTAGTGATAAAGGTGAGTAAACTTGATGTAAAACTTGCTCTAAATGTGTTTTCTTGGCTCTTCTAAGACTGGGTAAACCTACTTTTTTGTCCATCACATAAATTGCTATCCTGCAGGGAATGGTTAAATTAAAACAAATGTCAGGATTGTGTCTTTGAGCAGAACTGATGTAATTGTAGTAGAATGAAAAGGTAAAAGATAAAATCAGCAATTGAGCTAAGTTGCTCGTTTGACTAAAACTTATCCCAGTAACCATAGCATTAACCCTTAAACTCTAAAGATCTGATTTTTAATACTCCAATTTAGCTGCTATACACTTGTTTATAAAATAAGTTATAAGAATTTGGTGTTAGATCAAGATAACTTCTACCTGGTAAGTTTGAGTATTCTTATTACCTGTTTGCTGGATAATGTATGGATATTGTAAGGAGAAGTTACATGTTAATCATTTCTGGTAGTTAAAGGGTAAAGCATATTAGAGTATTGCTGTACTAAACTTACCCTGGATGGGATGTCACTCATTACACCACAGCAGCTCATCAGGTTTTCCAGACATTTTGCTAGCATTCATACATTTGGGTGAAGAGAGTTTTGGAGAGGGTAAAATGTCTTGCCTAAGAACATAACACAATGTGCCAGCTGGGTAGTAAACTCAGACCTGTCCATCTGAAGTCTAGGGTCCCTGACCCAAACCTCTCTCTTTTTTTCCACCCCACTTAAACTTCCAGTTTTTTCACTCCACTATTGCTGTCCTGCCATTGATTTTACTGTAATGCTCTGTTTTTTCTAACTGAACCCCTGGAACAGGCTAACAACGGTGATGCTAAGAAAACAGTCACCTTTAAAATCAAGTGTCCTTTCTCTTAAAAATTTGTCAAATTACTTAATGTGTTAACCATCTTGTCTGGTGCCAGATCTCCCCTTCAGCATGACATAAAAAAACAGGTCTGGGGTTCCAGTTCTTAAGACTTTTGAAAAAAATTTGGTGTTGCATGTTGCTGTTTTGGGTAGGACAAAAACCAAATGTACTAAGTCTTTAAATCCACATGCGCAGGTACTGTTGTGCTTATTAAATCTATCTCTTCTCTGCATTCTCATTGCTATCATCGGATGGTAAAGTCTGTACTCAGGCTTATTGGCCCACTCAGCTGGAGCTTATCATGGCTTCCATGTGGCATGAAGTGACTGGGAGTATTACCACCCATCATGTGGCA